AGCAGGAGTGTGTTTCACCTCAAGGTAGGGTTCCTGTAACTCAGGAACAGGTTGTCAGCGTGGCCAGACTTGTGATTTCCAGATAGGCTGATTGTGTTGCTTGAACTGATATGTTTCTTATTCCCTTGGCAGCGCCAGTTATTCCCCTGTGTAGGTCTAACCGTATTTGGCATATTTTTAAAAATCCTCAGGTAAAAAAAGGTTAAATCACAGTGACCCTGATATCTGATACTTATCTGCTGCTTGGTCTGTTAATATAAACAAATAGATCAAGATAAAGTAGAAGAGAGTCGGTTTTAATACAAGCTGTGTTTAAACTACCGGTTCAGTATCAAACATATTTCCTTAAATATTGTGTGATTTTCATTGTGAGTAATATTTCAGTATGAGTTTGCAGCTGTTCAGTGAGGCCAGTAATCACATCCAGTTGTTGGATCGAAACATAGCAACTCAACTTTGTCATGTTTTTTTTTAGCAGGAGGGCAGACTTGTCTTTTATCAACCTTTTAAAGGAAACTGTCATATCTCGTTATATAAATTCCTGAGAACAAAAAGATTGGCGGTTGCTTTCAAATCGAGATGAACTTCTTAACTGCGCTTTGACGTCAACGTCAAAAATCATTTATTGATCATATTGATCCAAAATCAATAGTATCCTGGCAATTATTTTTCCTCCAGCTCCAGGTTAGCTGCCCAGTAGTTAATTAAATCTTTTTGAACATTTTTATTTCTACAGTCACCATCACGGTTCCAGGCTGTTCTCAACGTGTAACTAATCATCGATACGTTGCACAAATATGTCAGTAATACATTCATCCCACTATTATGTAAAGTGCCAGATCTGATTAGTTGTATTTACATAATTCATTTGTTTTATTTGATGTCATCATTCACTGTGGTAATGCAAATTGCCATATTACAAATATTGCAAATTGCAAATTCAGTAGCCCATTTTATATTTGGGCTGCTAGAGTTTACAAACTTACCCTACAGGCCTCCCAAATGCAATATTAAAAATGAGAATTTAATAAATTTTACGACCAAAACTATCAAAATAAAATGTATTTTGTTAATTGGAATATAACAAAAACACTACACAGTCTGATAAGGCCACTGCAAACAACTAGTGAAGGTGACAGGCTGAAAAACTAAAGATATTAATTGTCAGTATCCTCCTCCAGCTATTTCTTTTTTTCTCGATTGGTCGATTTTTACAAAGACTTTGGTGTAAAATGCCGTCAGCGTCTGTGCCTGCGTCTTCAATCAGTTTTCGTTTGGCATTAATGGAACAGTACACATTAGAATGACTAAAATGATTAGAAGCTAATTAAGTTATTGCAATTTAGGCCTATTTTAATAATGATTTTAACAAAATTGTTTCCAATTTTAGGATTTTTAAAATGGCAACGATACAAATACCTACATTGTTTTAACAATTTCATAATGCCATATGTTTTAATAATTATTTACTTACTACTGTTTTTTTTTTATTAATAATGTAGAATTATTTTTAAAGGGTGAAATGTGAATTTATCCACTGACTAGATTTAGAGGCCTGAACTGATAAGATACCTAATATTAACAAAATAATTAAGCTCTTTCTTTATTTAATATTTTATGTTGTAAGACACATATGGGACGTTTCTTCTATTTTCTATTTTTATTATTGGTATTACCTTAACTGAATTCAAGTTTTGTGTGTGTGTGAATTCACTTTCTTTTTTTTTTGTTGTTGTTGTTTGTTTGTTCTAAATCTAAATTATGGCACCTGTGTCCCCATCACGGTGTGTGCATCGGTCTCTGTGTCTTAGTAAATACCTTGTTTCAAGGGTCAGAGGACTTACTGCAGTGGTCCTGCTGATATCTTAGTTAGAAATGATGCTTTTTGTCCTTCTGTAGCGATCACACTGAGGGAAGGAGAGAAGGGATGAAAACAGAGGAGAGCCAACAGTCCTGTCTGCAGCTGCCTTCCTCCTCAACGCCTTTTGGTGAGCATGTGGCAGTTTGTTGCATAAACGAAATCAGCACCAAGATAATATTACCAAAACACCAAGGCACATTATAAACTTACTTTGTGACTATAAGACCATGAGGAAGAGGCTGATCATCACGTTTATTGACCTCAGAAAACGTAAATCTCCACCAGGATATTTTATGTATGGACAAAAATCCATTACCATTATCAGACAAAAAATATTATGGGACTATTATAGAGGGACACCACTAGTGGAAAAATGTCAAAAACAAAAGTTCCATCTATTTTGATTATGACTGTGTATATATAACAATATGCAGTACATTTATTTGTTGCAACAATGTAATCATGACTTTTAAGGATAGGCTACAACAAGCCCTACACAGTAAAGTAAATTTATATTTGGGGGACTGTTTAATTTTGAGAAGATAGTGGGTCTGCCATACCCGCCTGTCGGGAACAGCGCGCACAGGGCGAACACATGGTCGTAGTGTTTCGTCCTCATAGTAGAGGTCACAGCAGTTGAGCTGTAGCAGGTAAAGTAAATATATATACATTTGTGTCATAACAGCTATTAAAAATGTCGGTCAAGTAAGTTTGTCAAGCGTTTCACTGATGCTCAGCATTTTATTACGTTGGACTTGGATTCATGACCCCAGGATCTTAGATCTCCTGCCTTCGGCCCTGTCTCTATTCTCCCCGCAGGTCCGGAGTACAGGGGAGGGGGTGAGGTGTGTGCGGGCTGCGAGTCTCCCATCGCCGATCGCTTCCTGCTGCGCGTGAACGAGCGCTCCTGGCACGAGACCTGCGTCAAGTGCGCTGTGTGTTTGAGCGCACTCACTGGGACGTGTTACTGCAGGGACCGCCTGCTGTACTGCAAGCACGATTATGAAAAGTAAGAGCCACACACACTCGCATACGCACACACAGTGCACCGAGGCAGTGGCGCGAGAATCATGCTGCTCAAACTTCAACCAATAAAAGTAGAATGATTACACACAGTTAAATATTAATAAGAAACATGCTCATCCACAGGCTGAGAAAAAGAATTAAACGTCCTCTGCATCAAGCAGAAACAAAGCTGTTTTTCAGGATTCATTCTTTTTGCAAACCAGCTCAACTTTCGGACTTTAAATTGCCCATAGGAGTGAGTGTGGGTGTGTGTAGTTGTCTGTCTCTCAGTGTCAGCCCTGTGATAGACTGGTGACCCGTCCAAAGTAGACAAGGCTTCTCAGCCAGTGTCACCGGCCCCCGCCACCCGCTTCAGGATAAGATAATAAATAATGGATGGATGGAACTAAACTTTCTGGGTTAAACTTGTGCTGAAAGTAAAAGCTTAGTAGTCCTAGTCTCACAATAATAGAAATATTCAAGCAAACTACGAGTATCTCAAATATGTACAGTTCATGAAAGATTTACTTCCCAAATAGTGGTGTCTACAGAGGAGAGAGGCTTCTGATGTGAGCCAAACTCAGGTAGAAGAATCGTCACCCCTACCCACACAAGCCAACAGAAAGCCAAATACACAAGCCATGCTGAATTGAAACACAGACTTGTGTTTTCAAGGCATGTATCATAATGTAGTACCTTCACCCTTTCTGTGTTTAGATAGCTATAGCCAAGTTTCAGTGGCATTAATTAGAATGTGGTTGTTCTATAACACAGAAAGAAACAGGACCCTTTATTAGTTATAACTACACTTTTTCTTTTGGTTGGCCAAGTAAAACTGTAAAAAGCAAAAAGTAAAGATAAAAATAACAAAAGATTATGATGAATGTGTCAGAGCTGTAGGGGAGGACTTGCTGAGAGTGAATGGCTGCCATGTTTTACTGTCTACGAACCACTTGTTTATATGAACAAAAGCATAAATGTGAAAATAATCCATTGAAAAAGAAGGTATAACTTACTAACAGTTACTTAGCAAATAATTCTAGATCTTACAGTGATTAAGTACAAGCAGTGTTACAAATGACCCTCGGTTACAGCATTGTATGATTTTGATTAACCTGATATCAGCTCTAACATTTTAGTCAATGCGTTTTACTCATAAAGACATACTGAATATATTTAGCTGGAAATTGTATGTTTTATTGATGTTTTTAGAAAAATGGAAGAAAATTGCAAATACCTCAATCACTGCTATAGTATAAAGCCTTCAAATTGAAAATCCATGTTTGTCAATATGCACAAGGGGAGTGTGCACAAAATCTTTCCTCGAACCTACATAGCTCTAGTTTAAATTGTAGTCAAAGGCCCCAAAGTTTGTTTCTGTCAGGCTGAAATCAAATTTTAGAATTTAATATTTCATTCCAATTGTACCAAGACAAAATATCAAAAGTAAATGCGAAAAGGAAAAACATGTGACGCAGATGCAAAACACTAAAATGACGATCAAGCGACGCTCTGGAACAAACAGATATAGAATATAATGTTGTCAGACAGTGTGTCAAAATGGTTTGTTCATCTGTGAAGCCACTTAAGGGAATTTAATGGGCTAATAAGGTTTCAGACCGTTCACTGTCACAGTTTTTATGTGGAGAAACATAGGAGCCCTCGTTTCATCCCTAGGAATCCTAATATTTTATAGATGACAGCTGGAGATTTAAAGTCTATTCAGAGACAAGTGTTTGTTTTAAGACACTGTTTCCATATATTGTTTATCATCACAATCGTAACTGAATTAATAACATTTAAACCTGATATTTCCTGCTTCGTAGAGATGCGATGAATAGCACAAACACATTATACCACATTATACACATTATACCTGCTTTGTCTCTTGTTTTTTGTTGTGCGAATACCTGCTTTGTCTCTTGTTTTTTGTTTGATGATTCATTTTTGGGGCTGTACCTTGTATGTGTGTGTGTTTTGTTCTGGTTGTCTGGTGTGTGTCACGGTCAGTGGGTGTGTCTGCACTGGGAGCTCCAGGGGTAGAAGGCTGAAGGACGAGCCTGCAGCTTGTTATCACTGTTTTGAAAAGTGTCAGACGGCATCCAGCAACACAGACTCTCCCACTGTACCTGACATCTGGAGGAGAGAGCGCGTGAAAGCCAGAGAGAGAATGGAGCTAGCTGATGAAAGTCCCACTGTGTGACGTTTAGCTGGAAAAATGAGTGGGAAACGTGGAGGCAATAGCTTATCATGAATGAAGCACTGGGTTCATTTTCAGTGATGGAATGAATAAGTGTTTTTGTTCTCCTTGTGTAATGACTGTAATTGCAGATCCAAATTAATAGTCAGTGGCTCATTCACGCCGGTGTTGATTCAGCCCCCTATACATTGCATATGCATAGTTGCCTTGTTGTGTGAGTCGCTGTCAGACTTGGCACACAGTGCTGCCTGTGACCTTCAGCAGATCAGCAACAATGTCTCCTTGTTTTCCCTGCAGTCTGTCCATCAGCACCCTCCCTCCCATCTAGAGCAGGTGTGTGCATTGTAACCGCCTACCCTGTCCAAGAATTTGGAACATGCATAAGAATTTTTGGGGGTTTTCATACAGTCATTAGGGGTATGCTTATTTTTTATTAAGCCTTCCAGTTTAGTTGCCTGACGTCTCTACACATTAATATGAACATTTCTGCATGTCAAGTATTAAATTATTATATACCTGCTGAAAGATGTATGGATGAAATGGATGCATGGTAAGATGGCATTGTGCAGGCTTTTCAGTTCCAGGTCTTCTTTATGCAGCATATCTGGCTTGTCCAGATATTTTTAATTCATCCTTAGTCCAGCACACACAGACAGAGGAGTCAGATGTCTCCTCCCTGACTCTTTCACAGTATGAGCAGCCAGCCACACTGTACATTGCTCATCTCTTTGCATGGGCTTGTTTTCGGCATCTAAGTATAAATATAAATAAATGCACAATGTGTTTTAGGGGACAACGTGATGCAGATGCAGAACACTAAAATGACAATCAAGCAAAGCTCTAGAACAGACAGATATAGAATATAATGATGTCCGACATATCTTTATATTTTTTGTAATTGTTCCTATGATGTAAAAAAAAAAAAAAAACCCATGTATCAACATGTAAATAATCTATCAATTCAAATGAGAAAACATCATTTTAGGATTCTTTGCTTTGAAATTAATCTAAATTGATTATTCCGATGCTCAAACAGCAGATTTTGTTATGGTGAAGCATGTAACCCTAATCCAAACATAACACTATGTAGAACTATATAAAATACTGATTCATTTATGAGCTGTGACTAAGTTCAGTGTCTGAAGCTTCAGGTAATTAATAAGAATTCACCCTACTGACACATCCTCTCTTTGTGGAGGGGGGGACAGTATGCCTTCAGTCTCAAGTTCCCCTGGTCTCAATCTGTTATGGAAATAAGGGGATTTAGAAACAATAAAGTCAAGTGCATCTTGTGGATTTTTCTTGTGGATTTATTTTTGTTTCAAAACCTCAAGAAATTCTCTTAAACTCTAAACTATTATGGACCAGATGTTCTGCATGAAGCTGTCGAATAACTTAAGAGATGAGACTTCCTTCCACACTCAATATTCCCATAGTGTCTAGTTAACTGCCAAGATGGGCACAAAAATACAAACATGGATAAAAGATTTTTCAACGAGGTTTAAGTAGTAATGAGCAAAATCTGAATTACTTTAAATGAAAGATATAGGAGGATGACAATCAAAGCTGATGAGCAGATGGCCTTGCACAAATAAAGTACATACCCTCAATATCCTTACACACAGGCTCAGCATTGTGATTCCTTGCCAAACTGAACAGTATAGGTCCAGTATTTGCTGGCCAATAGTGGTGGGGCCATACAGGATGGAGGGCAGTCTGCTAGGCCTGCAAGCTCACTTGTAACCTCCATAAAGGTACTGTAGCTTCAGTCCTGTGGAAAGCGAGTCTCCCAGGTGGATATTCACTAAACCATGAGCTTTTGTGGGGTGGAGCAGGCACCGATTAGGGAGGGCACCAAGACTGCATTTGGGTTTACAAAAGCCTCTGGCTGCAGACAGAGAGAGGGATACCCCACTGCCAAAGTTCTGGAATCTCCCATGGCTGACCAGGTAGCCTGATGTGAGTCTAATGGTCTGACAGAGTGTCGGCTCAGGTTACAGTGCAGTACTGCTTTAAAACACTGAGACAAGATGCATCTTCTACCCCTCTTCTTCCCTGTATACCCCGACACCCCACGCACCATTTCTCTCCCTGTCTCTCTATCTGTTACCTCATTCATCACTGTCTGCTTTGTAATAATATTTCTCTATTCCAAACCTCATTTCCTTCCTCTGAGATTGATAGCAGCGATGACACCAAACAGTTTATCTCCCCGTTTATCCCTTGTTTTCTCTTAATCGGCCCCCCAGCGCCTCTTTGTGTCTCGGGATCGGAATGGGAGGAGGTGCAGGGAGGCTGATTGGGTACAATGCTAATTACCCAGCATTCTGTGGCTGTCTTATGATGACAGGTCTGAAACTGGGCTGCAGGGAAATAGTATTAGAGAGAATTATGCAATGACATGACAGAGAGATGAGAAATCCTTCTTCCTATCAGCTTGCACCTTAACTCTTCACTGGCAATTAATGAATTACTTTTATTAAAGAACCCTGAATGCTGAAACTATTATCAACATAAAAGATCTGCTCAAACAAATTAGAAAAAACTAATTTCTGTAACCACGCAAATTGTTTATCTGTTCACTTTTTGAAATGTTCATGTCTCAGACTGGAGAGAAGACGAAGCAGAGCATGGTTTTGTTTGTAGTGCTCACAGAAATGACAAATAAATGTATAGATGACAGTTTAAAAACAACAGCAACATGTCATTGGAGAAACAAAACTGTCAAACAGTTCTGTTCATACAATGTTTCTGAAAGGAAAGTTTGTGGTTCAGTGTAGTTTTACATAACTCATGGCTGCACTGACGGCTCAGACTTGTACAGTACAGTGAGAGGCTCCAAACAATACCTGGACATAGTCCTGGATATTCAGACCCCCCCGCCCCCAAGGAGTCTTATATTAGCTAACCGTGCAGCTCAACAGATGATGGTTAGACATGTGTCACAAGGAAGAAAAGCAGGGATGGGTGAGTTTTATTGTTCTGATGGCGAGCTGTTCGAGAACAATCAGGCGAAATCTCAATGATGAAGAAAGGGTTCAAAATGAGCTAAAAAAAATTTAAAGACAAGGAGAGTTTTAGGAGGGAACAGTCACAGGAAGGGGCAGATTTTTGTCAGGGTGTATGGGGGTGGGGGGGTGGGGGGATATTGCCACTGTTTTTGAATAATGTGAGATGAGACCCCATCATCTTTCCTCCCCCACAACAATTTTACAACAGACAGCTAATAAATGTTTCATGGCAGAACAAGCTGCTCGCCTCGGCTTTATTAAATCTGAGATAATAAAAGCAGAGAGGGAGAGGAAAAAAGAGATAGAGAACAGGGGGTCGCACCAGAGAGGGAGAGATAGGGAGATCAGCGTAGACTTTTCTCAAATCGACTGGCTGTATCTCCTGTTTCTGGGGCAACGAGTCCCGTTGTCCCTCACCACCCCCTCCTTGCTGCTTCCCGCTCCGCCAGAGACAGACAGGAAATGAGAAACGGGCAGACAGGATATTGCGTTCTGGTGGCCTGGGGATTAACTGTTTTATCTAAACTAACACACACGCCCACTCGCTCACACACGCACAAACACACATCTATATCCTCACACATAGCGTTGATTCTTGGTAGCATCAGGTGTAGATCATGCACACCCAGAGACACATACCATGAGGACCATCCTGCAGGTTTTTAGCTGTTACTTTACACAGTTACATTACATTAGGACTTGAATGTTAGAGGCATCAGTGCGAGCGATTCATAGTAAGAGTCATGACATGTACGTGTATAACCTTTACATTGGCTGAGTGCTTTTGCAGAAATGCCTCTAAAAATCTCTTGTGTGCTCTGCAGGCCATCGTGGTCATTAGATAACAACTATTACATGGCTTCTTACAAATTTTGGAGAAGGTTCATTGAGGAAGAAGACTTTATGATGTTACTTTACTGATGCACAAATGGCAGCATCTGTCTGTTTTATTGATGTTTGTATCGAGGCACCTTATCTGCGTTTACACAAACTGTGCATATTTGTGTTTATGTGTGCATGTGACTGTGTGTGTGTGTGTGTGTGTGCATGTGTGACTGTACTATACATGTACTCTCTATATATATACATGTGTGTATTTGTGTGTGTGAGTGTGAGTGAGTGAGCGGTGGCAGGGATAGCGAGTATCGTGGGGAATGCTGGGAGATTTTAATAACACAGAAGCAGTGCGGGGAGATTTAATAAAAGGAGATGATGTGATTACTGAACCCTGGCTCTGAGCCATTTTGCTTCACAGAGCAATATCCGCCAAAAGTGCGCGCACACACATCCCCACACACACAAATCTGTGAAATGGATACTAAACAGAATACAACTTAAAAGTAATATTGTTGCATATAATTTTGTTTTTTGTTTTTTGTTTTTTTGCAACTAACACATGAGGCCCTTGATGTACCTTCATTTTCAGGAAATCTAAAAGCACATATTTGTGCGTCACACACTGGTCATTCTGAAACCACTGTGTGTGGGAAACACAAGCTGTTAGATGAATACCTCAGCTTATTATATGTTTGGAGATAGAAATGCATCTATAGGTTAGAAATCATAATGAGTGATGGTGGTATGTCTGTGATGAGCCACAGTCCTCTCCAAGTTGGGCTCTTCTGGGCTTTCTTATATACAACTGATCCAAGCCTAGAATTAATATAAGCAACCCCGTACCTGTATAAATATTCATCAATTAGGAAAGAAAGCACAGCAACTGTAATTGCTGTGAGAGACATACATATTTATGCAACGATTGTGTTGCGGTCCAGACAATGTTGTTCTTGTCAGAGCTCATAGGCAAAACAATGCCACATGACACAGCTTAGGAAGATGACAACAATTCTGTTATTCTGTTTGTATGCCTTGGATCTACAATAAAGCAAGAAGTAAAGAGTTGATTATACCCACCTAATTCTTACAGCACCTAACCTTTGTCTGCCTCTCTACATTTGATCTCATAATCAGTGAGCTTGTAATTAGCCATGCCCCCTAACCCCTCCAAAATCCACTACACTTCACAAGAAGTTGCCTGCAGCCAAACTTGCTAAGGTTTTGTAGATCACAAGCTCTCAGTGCTGACTGTTCTGTTTTTTGTCTACACTTGATGTGCTATCCTTTGTAATCCTGTATCTATTAAGAATATAAAGAAAAGCCCTCAAAGCCAAAAACAGTCACCTTCAAAATATATTTTCTGAAAGGTTTAAGTTTTAATTTTAATTTCAGTGATACTTTTTGCATCAAAATTGAAATGCTTTGCAAGAACAAGCTTCTCTGTATGTCATGCAAATATATAGAGATTTTTACACTCAGGCAAGAGTCTATATTTATTATTTTTATGTATTTATTCATTTTCTTAGAAGTAAAAAATTTGCTTGATGAGTAAAAATCTTGTAAAAATGAAAAGGTACAGCATTCAGACACACTGGAAAAGGTACATATAATAACTAGTACCCAAGCATAAAAATTAGAGTGTGTGGGCATGTCTGACAAGATTGTTTAAATTTGGTGTGAAAGCTAAATGTATCTCCTTCATGTGACTGCTCTTTAACCATTATGTCCTTAGTGATTTAGTGGAAGCTACACCCTGGTCAGGGCCAGTGTGAATGATACTTCTATTAGAGGGATTAGACTGATCTCCTTACAGACCCCCCTCTGTGGCAGTTGCCCCAAGTTGCCTTCATTTGCCATGTTGAGTAAATTCCTACTGTGCTTTGTACACCCCGATTAGGGAATGTGGGACTTAACCAGCTACATCATCAGTCTTATGTCAAGCAATCCTGTGACAATTATGTACTGTTGTGTTTTGTTCACAGTGAAAGGAAGACTTTAGGCTGCCGAAGTGTTTTGATGGCGAGTGAAGCTGCACAGAGCGGGAGGGGGATTGCTCTCCTTTGTGCAATAGATGCCAAATATTATGACTAGGATCTAGTTTCTTGTATATATTTTACCTTAAAGTATCTTTCTAAGCTGCAGTGTGACGTTTCTATGGGAGAATAGGTTGAGCAACATTTAGTTTAAAAGGTCCTCTCACAATAGGTGTGTGTAACGCTGCTAATGGGGACACTTGTTTTTGCATTATGATTGTAAATTAGTGACACTGTCATTTGGGGAATTTGGAGCGCACGTGGCAGATGGATTGAGAAAGATTAGGTGTAGCAGCTGTGTTTGGGACAGAATCACAGATTAGGAGCTCTAATGTGCAGACCTGGCTCCTTCTTTACACTCCAGATTTGGGCAGTAACACCTTCCTATCACTCAGTCAGGGAGCTTCAGCACTTTTTCTCTGACCTTTCCTCCCCTGTCCCTTTCCCTGTCATCATCCCTTCTTTCTTATAAAGGTTTATGTTTGTTTTGGTGACCTTTCTCCTTTTTACACATATCCTTTGGCTGCCCAGTAATTCTTCCTGTTGAAGTGATATTCTTATGATCCGGGGTATTTGTGCCATTTTCTGATTGTAGGTGTGTTGCATCATCAGCATGATGATGGGTGCTGGTTTGGTGAATGTGGGTAACTAGCCAGTATCAGACTAGGCATACTGAAACTTGGTGGGTGTGTGCAAATGTCTGTGTGCATATGTATGTGTGTGTGAGCGTCTGTGTTTCTGTGTGTTATGTGTGTTTTAGTGTGCATAAGTGAGAGGAGAGAGATTAACCCCATGCTATCCCCAATCCCTGGTTATGAGTTTACAGCGTCTGTCTGGCCATTGCACTGTTTAAACAACAATCTAATTAATCCTGTCTTTATTAGTTTCAGTGAACTGGGGAGGCAGGCTGGGAGGGCATGAGGGAGAACTGGGAATGCTGGCAGAAAATACTAGGGCGGGAGGGGGAGGAAACTGAGTGCGAGAGCAGGGATTTGAAAGGAATTTAATGGCAGAGACTTAGGCACTGTGAATGGAAATAAGGATGTGAAGAGATGGTGAGGCAGGAGAGAAAGTGCAGGACTATAACTTCTCACAGGAGGAGAGATGAAGGGACAAAAGAAGGAAAATGGTCTTGGGGAAAAGCAATGGAGTTGAGAACGGCTCTGTATTAAGCTTTATATATAATTTTAAATCAGTCCTTTACGATTACGGGTGATATATGGATGGACCCTGTCAAACCGATCTCAATATTTAAAGGTATGACTATTGAAAGACTCACAACAAGCAGCTCTCTTATCATAAGATAACTACTGCCATCTACTGTTACGATGAAGAAAAGAAAAATACAATATAAAAATGCCAACTACTGTAATTCCACTCAGCAGATGTTCACCTTGTTACTCTGTGAGTTGGGTAATGTTCATACAACCTTTAATTAAGAGACTATGCTAATCTTCAGAATCATTGGGGCTGAGGGTGAATGTGTTAGAGTTCCTTTGTCTGTGTCTCCATCTTTAATTACTTCACCTTTTTCTGCACTCTATGACACAATATATGTAGGTATCTTTTAAACCAATGTCTGTGTCACTTGGTGTGTCTCCAGGTTGTTCGTAAGGAAGTGCAGCGCCTGTCTGCAGGTGATCGGACGTTCAGAGCTGATAATGCGCGTGCTAGGACAGGTGTACCATCTGGGCTGCTTCAGCTGCTGTGAGTGTGAACGCCGGCTGCAGAGAGGTGATGAGTTTGTGCTGAAAGAAGGCCAGCTGCTTTGCCGTATGGACTATGAAAAGGAGAGGGAAATGCTAGCTGCTATCAGTCCTACACCGACTGAATCAGGTAAAGTAGGTTAGTTACAAGTTAAAAGTCAATTCAAAGGTCGCCTGTCTTTTCTGCATACATCTTAGAGAAATTCATTTTCTATTACATTAATACATTCAGATAGATATTTTCAGCAGTGAGCAGCTCCTGAAGGGCAATTAGGAGTTTAAGCGGCTCAAGTCTCAGGCTTCTCCCTTGTTCAATGAATAGGAAATATGCAGTGAACCGGATCTCAGGCACCGAGTGGGTTACTGACTCAGTGACCAATGAGATATTGATATTGACATACCACATAACTGTTTGGCACAACAGTACATCATAGCTTGGTTTTTAAATAAAGTTTATGGCATTTGTCATTTTTAGATGATGTTCCTTGTGTTTGTATAGCAGAAGTGTGCTGATATCTGGCCTCTGAAGACAGTCTGCAAAGGTGCTCAGTGGTTTTCACAAGGCTGCAGTATCTGGAGCTTACCTCCAGTGCACTGGCACACACTGGCACTGAACAGCCTCAAAATGGTTTTGCTTCTTCAGCAGCTCTCTAGGGGCCACAGCTCACAACCACTTCTGAGGCCCATATGGCATTTTCACGTTGGACTTTTTGTTATTTTATTTTTATTTATTTGTTCTGCTAACCTTTTGCAGTGAAAAGTGAGGATGAGGACGGTGGAGGGGGCTCTGGTGGGGGGAAGGGTGGTGATGAAGGAAAAGAGCACAAGCGTTCAAAGCGGCCACGCACTATCTTGACCACTCAGCAGCGCCGCGCTTTCAAGGCCTCCTTTGAAGTGTCTGCTAAGCCTTGCCGCAAGGTGAGTGGACCAGCTTGTTTTATCAATGGAAATGCATGACAGAAAACACTCCCTTTCCTTAAAACCATCATTGTTCTTGCATATCTTTATTATTCTATATTGTAGTTCACGTCAATCTGTGTTTCACACTGTAATGCTTGTATTTTAAAAATAATGGAATGAAAAATCCTCTCATAGGTGAGAGAGACACTGGCTGCAGAGACTGGGCTGACAGTACGAGTTGTGCAGGTGTGGTTTCAAAACCAGAGAGCCAAGGTTAGACTTGACATATTTTGTGAAGAATTCATTATGTCTCACACACTGACATGCTCAACAAAAAAGCACGTGTTTTGGTGTTTCAGATGAAAAAGATAGCTCGCCGACAGCAGCAACAGCAGCAGCAGCAGCAGCAGGAACAGGAGAAGCTAGGAGGAACCAGGAGAGGACCAAGCAGAGGGGGCCGCCAGAGCAATGATGACAGCGAGGGTAAGAGCCTAAAGTGCCGACAAAGAATCAAGAAGAAGACTAGACTATTTAATGTTGTGACTAAAGGGGGTTTCAACTTCTCACAGATGGTTCTAGTACCCATGGCATGGATGGGATGCTGGGATATCCTCTGCCACGTCAGCAACTTCTCACCCTGGACCCCAACATTTATGGCGGAGAGCCGTTTAGGCACGGCCTGACACCACCTCAGCTGAACAGCGAGCAGCTGCACTCCTACGGTAAAACAGAAAGCTGCAAATTCACAAGACTCAAAATGAAAATTTTGTTATTATTTTCCCTATAATCATGACAGTCAAAGCAACAATACAGCAAGTAGCTGCAGTAAATGTTGACTTCCTCCCAAACTGCTGAGTTCATTGGTTCCTTTTACACTGTACTCTAATAGCTGGACCACTCAGTATTTTATCATTGCTTATTCAGAGCTTTGGGTTATGTTGCATTAGTTATAGGAGAATGTTTGAAGTTTCTAATAAAGAAGAATAAATGTAAAGAAAAGGTTGAGTTAAAACTATGAAGGCTGACTTCCTCTGTTTTAGGTCTGTTAGCTTAATTTGTGCCTATTTTCATATTCTTTTCAGATGTTCTGTTTTCTGGTACTAA